GCCCATTTTGACCGGGGTACGCTTGGCGCTGGCGGGGGCCGCCGCGGTGGCCATCTGCTGCCGCCTCCCGGTGTCTTCTTCCCCAGAGAGAGATACTCCTGGGATCCCGACTCTTTCGGGAGGCACCACTCAGGCGAGGAGGGGTCTGCAAAAGGCTGGGGGAGGGAGAAGGGGGACAGGCCCCACCTCTGAGTCTGGCAGAACCCTTTGGGGGAAAACAGATATTTGGACCCAGCAGAGGGGAATTTCAGCCAGTCCACAGGTCTGCTGGCATCCGGTCCTCTCTCTCTAGTACGGAGGCTCCCCCAAGACTGGGGAATGGAGACGCTGGTTCTTATGGTAACCAGAATGCTAACAATGTTCAGAGAGCAACATCCAACTGAACGTGCCCGGCCACGAGCGTTGCCAACCAACTGCAGGCATGTAAATAGATCAACGCTGGAGCAGTCTTGCTTGCTTCGGAGCAAAGAGGCAAACTATTTGGATTCTCCCCTTTTTGTTGTGCATGGGGGAGAAGCATGACACTAGCGCACTTAACGCGCATCTTCTTTGCTTGTAGGATGAGAATCTTTACTACCAATGCTGCTCTTGGTTTGCACCTTCTCTCTCTAAACGGAGGGGCGCCCGCTAATATTTTAAGTTCTTAGGGGGAAAAAAACTCTCAACATATTTTACAAACCCGCCCACTTGTCCAAGCCAGCTGTCACCAAACCTCCGTGCAGAAGATCAGCCAGACGTTCGGGTGTTTTCCCATTTTGAACTTGGAAGTCCCACTTCAACCCCTTGACAGCTGCCCCAACTTTCGTGCAAGGGTCCTGAGTTTGAAATGGCCACCTTAAGCTGGAATAAACCATGTTGGAACGTTTGGGGTAAGATAGGAACAACCTGTTTTGAACTCAATTTGGCACACTCCAAGCTTGGTCCCAAGATGGTGTTAATTTGTGCAAAAATAATTTGAATCAGTCTGGATATTTTTCTGCTTCCATTGCGGTTATGGGAGTGTAAGTTTCGGGGGGAAGCAATGAAGAAGCTGAAGGGATACAAGAAAAGAAAATTGAGATCATGATGGACAACAGAGGTTGGGTGGGCAGATGGTGATCTCTTGAGGGAAAGGACTAGAAGGCTCAGTCCGGAATATTAAGGGGACCAAGAGACCCACATCTTAAGTACCTTTGGGGGTGGGGAGTAATTTGGATTACTGTTTGGAGAAACAGGAAATCCCCAGATTTCTGGAAGTGGTGTTCATCTGGAGGATCAGAGTGAAACCATGTTCAGATGGACCTTCAGTGCCTTCAGCTTCTGGACAAGTCCCCAACCTCTAATATCAGGGTCAGACCAGTCAGTAGCATCTCTGGCCCATCCTTGGCTGAATTTAGACCGGGTCTCAAAATGGATCCCCTTTGCCATGACAGATGGTGTATCTGTAGGAACGAACAAGTTATGAACGCACTCAAGTTTCGGTAGATTTGCTTTGCATGCTCGACGACAGATGTAGCGTAATTTATACGCACGGCCAGTTTCAGCCAAACTCAGGAACCTCCCTCTGGAGTCCAATCTAGAACGTGTAACAAAATCCCTGTGCAACTTAGTTTAGAACTCCATTCGAGCAAAATTCAACAGGACAGGTTCAATTGTCAAAGTGGAACACGGAAGAGAACGGAGTTTAAGCTGAAAAGAGGCTTAACAAAGTTTTTTTAAAGAAAAAAGAAAAAAAGGGAAAAGAGGAATGAACCTATGAAAAAAAACCCCTCAATAATCAGAAAATCTCAGGGCTGTTCATTTCACATTATTCCTTTGACCTGCAAGAGCAGTTTTGGGCTATCAAAAGGGTACCTGATGCTTGAGGTCCAGAAACATCCATCAAGAAAGCCAGAAAGGGTCAAAGATGAGACTCTGAACGTGCAGCACAGCCTTCTAATTTTTTTTAAAGAATTTTATTGAAAACCAGTACAAATATTATTTTGCATCCAAAAGAACCCGTCCCACCAGAAAACCCTTTTAGAAAAATAAAATCCTTATGCGACCACGCCCTTTGTACGCCTGAAAGACAAAGATCATTTGAACTCTGCTGTTTGGAGGGACCCCATAGCCTCGTGTAATTCAGCACCTTTTCTCTACAACTGTACAATGTGAGCATGAACTGAACTGAACTGAACTAGGATCGCTTGTGCTTTTAAACACCTCAACTTCAGGACCTTTTCCATCCATGAATGCAACGTTGTTTGAATACTGAGATTTTTTTTAGAGCATTGCCACCTTCTTGAAACTTCTCAAGAAGAAGAAAACAGCCGCTTTTCCTTTGCAAGGATTACAACGGCTCTGGAAAGAGAATTTAAGCGAGGCGAGACAGGATGGTCAAAAGATGGAATGCGTTGTGTGCTCTGGTCTTGAAAAATCTCTTATTCCCAGCTAAAATGGGGCGAGTTATCTTGTTCATCGGTCCTCCGCTGGTTGGGAAACGTCTCATCTGACTTGAAAGCGTTTTGGTCCGTGCCAAGCTGAAAATATATATTTCACTATTAAATGGTTCAAATCCCATGAAAATTTGGGGGGAGGGAAGGGTTCAAATCCCCCTGAGATTTGGCAATTGGAAATGTGGCAGTTTTAAAAAGATTGGGGAGTTTGGCACCCGGGGAAAAAGATGGCTGGCTCTTTGTGAAGTGGAGACTAGATGGCAAGATCTTGAGATTTTCCTCTAAGGGAGAGTAAGGATCAACAGACACCGCAAAAGGTGGAACTTGTCCCATAACTTCAGCTTGGAAATGCTGTCACTGGCATGGCCAGGAAGAATGGCAGTTGGCATCTTTCTGGACCAGGAGAAGCTACCCACGTCATCTTGAGGTTCCAGACATCTCCCTTTTCCAACAATCCAGTATTGATTAGGAGACCATCAACACTGAAAGCGTCAGCACCATCCTAACTGCTCCAATGGCCTTTTGGGGTTCCAGAACACACACCTGCTTAAGATACATCACGTGTAGCCCAAAACTTTGCAGGGTATTTCTTAGCAGCAGAGAATCATCCATGAGCCGAGATAGGCTTTCCCTTCTCTAGAACCCAACGTTCTCCTCAACGTCTGAAGCAGCATCAATAAAAAGTTAAATATTTATATATTCTTTAAAAATAAAAGCAGGGAAGCAAATGAGAGCAACCATCATCTTTTCCCTGCGATATCCAGAATGCTCCCTTCCTGCTTCTTACTGATGGAATTTGTTAGGAACTCACAGCATTGGGTAGCGTCTCAGCCATCAACGTGACTGGGTTCTCCCATCTCTTCATCGCTGTCGTCTTCTGAGATTAACTCGTCATCCTCCAGCTCATCCTGGAAGATGTCATTGAACTGGAAGGACTTTTTCCAGCTCCTGTCCTTGTTTCTGGTCGTACGTCTTTTGGACAGTCTCTCCATGCTTTCCTTCAACATGGGCAATGTCTCTTCAAAAAGGTAGTCAATAATTTCTAGGGGAAGAAAAGGACATTTCAATCAAAGGGGGTGGAAGATCACCAAGGAGGACATGAATTCTGGAAAGAGGACCACATGGGACCTGAGTGTGATGGTATGTGGGAAAGACCTTGGGAGACTGGAAGAGACGCTGCCAAGGGAATGGTCAGATAAGAGGGAGCATAGCCCTCAGGAGCATAATGGGTGGAGAAAGGCTCAGAAGGGACCCTCTCTAGTTTCTCAGGTAGTAAAAGAGACAGAGGGAGAACTCTGTGCAAATTTTCAGATTTGTAAGATTCTGTTAATTCTAAGTAGAATTAGCTCATCTGGTCATGTTTCCTGTCTGGTCCACCTGGTAAAGCTGACACTGACAGGCCCTGATATTTTAGCGGGAGGCTAAATTTCTGACTTTGTGCTACTGTTTTCTTTCTTTGGGTTGTAGTGTATTTTTGGAAGAATATACAAAACGGGTGATACAAGTTGAAGAGAGGCTAGTTTTCACTCGCTTTCTGCCTCAAAGGGGCAAGAGACGAGAATGTCCATTTTTAGAAGATGCGGATGACGACGGAGCCACAAACCCCTTCTGGGGCCTTCGTGTTAAAGGGCATTCTGTAATCATTCTGAAGAATGATGACGACAATGATAATAATAGTAATTCTATTATTAGCCCGAGGTGGAAAGATGTTGAAAATTCCAGGAGTCAAATTCAATTCCTGGTGACTATCCTCTAGCTTCCTTGATAATAATCTGGAAGTGGCCATCACTGCTTTTTTCCAGAGTTGGTTTTTTTTTTTAACTTCCCTATCTGACTTTCAGCTCTGGAACTTCTTAGTAGTCTCCCACCCAAGTATTCACTAGACCTGACCCCATTTATTATCTTTTTCAAGGTCAGATACTTGCCAGTTCCCCCGTGATACGATTCCCCCAAACCACCCGTTTTTCGTCCCTAATACCGATAACTTCCAAGATGTTTCCATAAAGTTCCAGATAAGAGAACGAAACAAGGATTTGAAATGTGTCATCTCAAACCTCTCAGCCACATTTTTAGCAATTGTGCCTTTAAGCCTTGGGCACGTGCGTCTGCAAACCATCCCGTAGCACAACTGCCAGCCAGCAGAAGCTAGCCAGAGGAAATTTTTGCTCACTAATGGAAAAGGCCTTTCTTTTTTGCACTGCCACCAGAAAAAAAAGGGCCGGGTGCAAAGAAACTTACCTGGGAAATTTTTTTCATTCCAAAAAGGAACGTACGCTGTCTTTAGTCTGTAATATCTCTGTTGGACATAATCTGGAGGAGCGTTTCTGGGGGGAGAATGAGAAAGCCAAGGAAAATGATGCCTACATCGTGCTGTGATCAACAGACAAAACAGCTTGCAGTATTCCCATTCCCTTTAAGTTCTCACGCACAGAATTCCTAATTGCTCCCCCTTCAGGAATCAGGGATCCATTTTTTGGAGATGTCTGGAACGCAAGGTGATCCTGTGCTTGCCCCGCACTTAATTTCAGCCTCAAATCTCCATGGTCCTTTGAAGTAGACCACTGCCACCCCCCCTAGATCAGGGGTCGGCAACCTACAGCCTGTGAGCCGGAGGTGGCCCGCTGCCCAAAATCATCCAGCCCTTGGTCCCAAAAAGAAATATATATTCACCTGGCCCATACAATGCCATTTTGGTGACAGCTTCACCAGCTGCATCAGCATGGGCAGAGCGAAAGTCCCTTGGAAGTGGTGCCACATGGCCTCTGGACCCTGCGTAGAAGGTTGTGACCCCTGATCTAAATGCTATAGCCAAACTCTGCACTAAGGTTGCAGATTCCCTGAGACTGTAGCTTTTTACCCAATAGCGTTAGCGATGAGCTCCCAATCGATTTCATTGGTGTCTGCGACGTTCTGCTCATACAATCTGAAATCCCCAAAAGAAATCTTCATTAAAACTTCAAATTAACAGGTTATTCAAGACAGATTAAGCTAAAAAAATTATACTTCTTCTCTGTATCATGAAAACAACTCAACGTACTTTGCTTGGTATTTATTTATCAAATTCATGTTGCCACCCATCTCATAAATATGACTCTTGGTTTATCTTTTATTAATGTTACATTGAGCATTAATTGTATAACTTCAGTCATTATCTGTCCATTTATAGACATTATCTTTTTTTGGAAAATATACCTTTGTTTTAAATAAAAATACTAAGAAAAAAATACAGCACTAACTCTCATACCACCTTTCAATGAGGTCGATCTTAAACTGCAAGTTGTTCAATCCATGGAAACGCTCTTTTCCCATCATCTTCTTTGTTACAATTGATGTCCTTTAAAAAGAAAGAAAAAACTGGAGTATTACAAGTGGTAGAAACATGCGGATTCTGCTTCAAAATCTAGAGATATTCTAACGTATTCTGCTCCATGATTTGAGCAGAAACCCACATAATTTGGTTAGCATTGTTGCAGACCCAGTATTTGCTATTTATCATCGTGTATTCCTGTTCTAAGCTGTTCAAAGTTGTGACAGATTGCACTGGCCTGTAAGTTTCATAAATAAATTCTAAAAATAAAGACATCAAGAACTATGGACTTTCACACCTGGGGAATGGCCAAAATAAAAGGCTACATTTATACCTGCTTTGCAGCAATGGATTCTTGAGATATTTGTGTTTTTTTCCTCCTGGAAGCTATGGAACATGGTTAACAGAAACGTGTGAAACTTCGACTCAGAGGGCTGGTCAAATCTCCAAATCGAATCAAGTTTCTGAACCAGATCAAATCAGCAAAATGGAAGGGTTCAAATCATTTCAGGAAACCCCTAGTTTGAAACAGATTGGAATTGGACTGATCCAGTGATCCAAATCAAATCCATGTTTGGAACTTGGGTGGATCTGTACTTTCCTAAGAACTGGTGACCACGATTACTTTGTGCTTGTCCCAAGTCCTGATGTCAAACTTGGGTCCGGTATTTCTTTTGTGGAAAGTCTGGCCCATTTGCTCTATGCAGAATCTGAATGGGCACTGTCAGCAAATGATGATATAGTTCATCAAAGCTTATGCCTTCTAATAAAATTTGTTATAAAGGTGCTACCAGACCTCTCCTGATTTTGAGCTACCAGACAGACATGTCCTCCCGCAAAGCATCTTTGAGAAAGCGTGTTCTCAAGTAATGTTCACGCACATTACGGGAAAAAGGGATGATTTTCCTTCACTACCCCATGTTCACTCCAAACAGCGCACGAAGCCCGTACCACCACCGTGATCCTCACCACTTTTTTTTACACTGTCTCCAACCTCTGGTCTCCACTTTGGCTGCCACCTTCATCCAGCCGATATCCTTGTAGAGATTTTCCCGCAGAAGGATGAGCGCTTCATCGGCGTCCCCTTTCTCCAAAGCAGAATCCAAGCCTTTCACTTTAGTTCTCAGAATATCTTTGAGAGTTTGAATGAGTCTCCGAGTCTCTTCTTTACTCCAAGGACCCAAATTAGAGTCTGCACATATACATATACGTATGAGAAAACAAGATGGATAAGGCCTGCATTTAGCTCCAGACATTTTGCAGAATGAGCCTGATCTTCCCATCAGTGGAAATAGAACAGTGCGCTAGCTGGCATGCTAAATTAAAGGATCATTTTTTTCTGCAGTTTTTTTCCACTGTGGTTTATCAAATACACCAAGTTGGCTGGAAATAATTTGTTAAATCATAAAACAGGATTTATCAACCAGATGGACAGGATCCATGCTCCACATTAAGCCAAAAAAACAAACCACATTATGTTTTTCAAACTGGGAAGCAACCGTTTTTCCCAGTCTAGCCAATACTGGTGGGGCTTAAACAACACCATAAATCATAATGCTGGCTTGTTTTTAGCTTTGTCTGTTGACTGAATACAAGCAAACTGGGAAATAATTGGGTGAATGTAAAAACAAGAAAAGATATGACCCAACAAGAGAAACTTCTATTCCTCTTCCCTTTTTTAATCAAGTCTGAAGAGGCAGTTTGAAGGAAATTCACACTAATTTCTAGTTTAGCAAACCTTGGACCATTGCTATTCAAGAAAGCATTTTATTACACCGTTTCTTTTTTTTACAAGTAGCATAAAGCAATTTCTCTCGCTCAGTGTAATATGCAGTTGGAAGAACTGCATGGGATACCCTGCTCAAAACTTAACAATAGTATAGATGGGGAATTATCGGAAATGGCAACTAAATCCAACTTATCCTGTGTCGGCTCAGAAAAAGATTAGAATGGGCTCCGGGTTATCCAGTTATTGATTCTGGATTAACCGAAGTCATTTCTTTTCCTTCCTCAAAGAAAAATGCCCTGGTTGAAATGTAGAAGAAAGTTATATTTTTCTAGATGATTTAGGTTTAATTTCTTTAATGACACAGTTAGTGCTTATTTATCAATCTGCACCTAATCTGTATGGCAAAGGTGTTGAGAACCATGACAAGTTTACAACATTTCAAATTCTCCAAGCCACTAATTAGGCCTACAAAAAAAGACGTTGCTGTAAAAACCATATATCTGTTCCTTGGAACACCTGGATCAGGGTATGCATATACAATAAAAGTATGATTGCTTTCCTATGCATACTAAAAAGCTAAACTGGAGTTTCTGGACAGATCCAAAAACAGGGATTCCCGTCTCCAATTTTCCTCGAAGTTTTCCAAACAGCAAATATAAATAATACCTATTCAGAAGCATAAACTTGGTCACCATGAGATATAATGAAATCTTCTATTAAACAGACTAACGGGGCAGCTATTTAGCATGCCTCCTGTTTGGTAATTTATGCGATGATGTAAATTGAGGCAAAGGACGGAATTTTCACCCGTTGTGTAATGATGCTGTTATGTTAAAAAAAAAACAGTCACGTTGAGCATACCTATAAAAACATAATAAAGGTACGACCGATTTGCTAAGATAAATCACAATGGAAATGAAAAGATCAAGGTGTTACTATATGAACTGACACACATCTAGAACAGACAAGAACAACCCTGTCTGCTATTCAGACCGAGGGACTCAAGAGAAATATCCAGCGTGGTACCTTCCCTTGCCAACACCAAAGAAATCAATTCTGCTGCCGTGTAGGGTGCTTCTCTTAGGGTGGGAGAGAAACCATGCCAAGCTGTTGATGGAGAATTGCTCATCTGCACACACAGAGTCTGGGGTTTAGAAGAGGGGTTGGAGGAAGTGGGGGGAACCGAGACATCAACCTACCTTCTATCATCTGCGTATATTTCAAGGCAATCGAGTGACTGCTTCGGTTCATATGCTCAGAAATCTTTTTCCAGTTGTTTCCATACATGGCGTGATATTTATGCAGCTGTTTCTTTTCTTTCTTTGAATACCTAAAAAGAGGTTGGGAGAATTAAGCCAACTATGTTGCTTTAAGTTGGCCTTGATTTTTTTTAAAAAAAGTCCTTGGTGATTTCTCATTTTTGGATCCAACACAATCCAACTTACAAGACAATGGCTATAGTTTTTTTTATTTGTTATCTTTCCCTTTTTCGTTTAGTCTTTTACATTTCCTTCTCTCCTCTACTTTTCCTTTTACGTTTCTGCAGTTTTTTAAGCTTATGTAAAATCTCTTTCAATAAAAATTACTTTAAAAAAAACGGAGACCACAGCTACAAACATTCATTCCTTTCCATTTCTTCTTAAACTTGGCAACCTTTTCATTTCATCTTTCCTATTGCTTATCAGTCTTAGCCTGGTGATGTATTTGCTAAAAAGTTGATTGAGAATAATAGATGGCATTTGCACCAAAGAAGTCAAGGCGATGAACACCGTTGTTCCATCTCAACCTTGCTTCTAAATACCCTGCAAGGTCGAACAGACACAGCGAAATGGGAAGCTGAACTTCTTCCTACTCACAGACTCCAAAGAGATATCCTGAAGTTCATGCATTTTAACTCACGGCTGATAATATGGGAAATTTATGGATAATACATTTGTCATTAATGGTAGTTCAGCTTCTGCTTAAACATGTCCTCATATGGAGGACAATCTACAATCATCCAGTGGTGCCTTTTTCCACAAACAGTATACATCTTTAAGAAGCTCCTTATGTTTACTCAAAAGTCCCTTGCGTATAATTAGAAATCTTTAGGTTTGCACCCATCACCTTGAGTCAAGCTAGACTGTTTCATCATTCATATAAAACATCTGAAGGTAGAGGTCCTACAGGAAATTTCTATGATGGCTTCTGCTAAAGAATAAGGTGGTTTTTCTTACCGTCCGTTGTAATTCTGAGGATCAAACATTTTCCTAGCCCGATAATAAACAAGTCTCCAGGGTCGGGGAATACCCCGAGCTGTGGACGAGATGATGGAAGAATTAAGAGCCATCTTAGAACGAATGCAAATGATATTAAAAGAACAGAGCAAGCAAGACTTATAATTATGTCTTCATAATTATTGTGAATGGGCACATCTAAGTGGGATTTCATTCTGGCTATCGAGTGCAAAGCGGGCAAACGCTCACCAATGCCTTCACAAAATAAGTACTGGCATTTCCGTCTCTTGATTTCGGCCTGCTCTTCTGGAAATCTGTGGGAGAACAGGAGTTTTTCAGCCGTCTCAATCCCGCTTTCTTCCAAGAAGGCCTCAACATTTTCTTTTAATAAGTCATTTTCTGCTTTGGAAAATGTGCCGAACTTGACAGCGACGCCTACAAGGCAGCAAGATGGAAATGGGAGAATGAAACAATGTCAAAAAGGAAAAAATTTAGGCTATGAAATTGGCTCTTACTTTTATTATATTATTATAAGGCGTAATACATTATGTTATTTCGAAGCATTGGACTATATACAGCCTTGTCGAGAGATTATTAACCCTCTAATGTTGAGATTACTTAAACTTTTAAAGATAGAGAAAAACAAGTTCATATCAGTGTTAACTATGATTTGAAATATTGATGTTAATAAGTGTAAGGTTTTTTACATATTACATCCTCAGCTAAATATAGCATTAATGCACAAGTGCAAATTACATCAAAACATGTCATCTGTGACAATTTGCACTGTTTCGGTAATGGCGTCATCCTTTATATGACACAATGGAATTGCATTGCTAGGATCATTATGTCATTCTTCAAATGGCATAAATTTAAATTTGCACTTTGAATGCAACGGACTGTCCGCTGTTTCAGAGGGATGTCCAGACAGATATCAGATCCGTCATATCCGAAGTCTGTTAAATGGGAGACTGTTAAATCAGAGTTTCACTGTCATAACATTTTATATAGCATTTTGGAGATGGAATATCCTGTTTCCTCTCTTTTCTTATTAAGTTTGCTTCTTCCCTTTCCTAACCTGGTTATGCTTATTGCTGCATTCACAACCAAAATGCGCACCTTTTTTTTTAAAATCCCTAAACCTGGCCAGATCTCGTTTAGCCAGCTGCTTGATCGCTAACTCCGACAGAGTCCTCACGTGAGGTATGAATTCCTCTAGCTCTTTGGTGACAGCCTCCAGTTGTTCCATATCCGACAACTCCAGGGACTCATCTTCATCTAGAGAGCCTATTTCCGAAGGGGGATGTTCGCTGGAAGGTGGGTGTTTTGTACCCGCAGAGGCAGATGTTACGGACTGATTCAGTCTGTGGGGAGATCGAAATGGAGATTATTTATTTAAATTTATTATAACTGCCCAGCTCTAAGACATAAGTAACACAGCTGAACACCACCTTTTCTTTGTCTCCAAACAGGCCAGCTGAATGTTATACAAGAACTGTAATTTAAGAATTAGAATCCAAATCTGCTTTCTCCCCCTTCATTTCTCCTCCATCCCTTTTCCCTTTAGTGTAAACCTGCAGGGAGGAACTCCCGCTACCAAATTTGTGGCTGAAAGAAACACAACTCAAAAAGGGCAAATAAAGCATTCCCAAAACAAAGAAAGGGGGGGGGAAAGGCAAAAATGTGAGTATGATAAACAAAGCGGGGTGCCCAGCTAGGTGGTAACATTTAGACAAACTTCATTATTGCATTACTGTTACTGTATTAATTTATTTTTATGTAATCCCCAATGTGGGGAGATGGGCAGATGAGACAAGTCTATTAAATAAATAAATAAATCTCATTGTATTTTATATCTACTTTTTAGCTCTATTAATAATTATTTAATTGTTGTACACAGCCCAGAGTTGCTTTGTGTGAGATGGGCGGCTCTATAAATGTGACATATAAATAAATCAAATTATAGTTTTATGTATTTTTATTGTAGTGTTCTCTGGCCTAAAGGCTATAAAAAAGGCCTGATTTGATTTGATTTGAGAAACTAGGCTGATCTTGGAAAGCTAAGCAGGGTTGGATCTGGTCCGAACGCTTGAGGACATTAGAGTTGCTTTGTGAGATGGGCGGCTATATCAATGTGATGTATGTGTGTATGTATAAATAAAGCAAGCTTGGATGGAGCCCAGTAGGAAATTCTAGGGTGGTTGGTTAGACTAGGAAGTTTTAAAAAAAAAATCCAGGCGGCTACGGCAAATCATCTTTGAACTGCTACCGAGGCAAATAACGCCAGGACTGAAGTATGATTTGAAGGAAGCCTGAACTTTAAGAGGCAAAACTGCAACTTCACAAAGAACAGTCCCAGAAATCAGGACAGAGAGCTCTCAGGCATGCTCCACTTGAAGTTCAGCAATGAAGAATGCAACCCACCCCTTCATCCCACTATTTCAGCCTAAGATAACCTGTTGCGTTCAAAGACCAACCCTCTCTAACATTAGTAGTCTTTCAGGACCAGAATCATTCAGAGTTTTGAAGTAAAGCACCGTGGTCAAAGCAATCTTCAGTAAGCCATGATGCTCCCAGCTTCAGCCCCTTCCACCCATCTGCAATACAAGGTTAATACAACAAGGACTAGTGTAATGAATTTAACTTTTAGTATATAATCATATAGCCATAGAATAGCCATGTTCATCCTATTCATGAACTTTACTAGGAAACTCATATTGCTGGAATGTTGGAATGTAAGCTAGATACCTTGTACGGATGAGTTCTCCACACTGATAAGGCTGGAACGTTGGTGGGTGTAAGGAATGCAGTGAATATCATAAATTTATAAGATAACGGAATGAGAGGTACCATCGTAACAAGTTACCCAACTATTCCTAATGTGAACTGTTCCTGACATGCACTGTTATTGAGATGACCTGGATGGAGTTGACCTGGATGAAGCGTTCACCAGGATTCTAAGTCAACAAGTTGGGTATAAAAGAAAGGATGGAAACCATGCCCACCTCGAAGTGCGAGACGACTCTTGTTGGAGCAGGGGACGCCCTGAGTCTGATTCCCAGCCCGCTCTAGCACAGCCTGATCAACTGTGTTGAGAGTGTATGTAAGTATTCTGTGCGAATGTGTAGCCTAGTTGGGCAAGAATATTAACAGCAACCTGGGTAGCCTAGTAGGGCAGTTGCTTATTGATACACTGTTGTTTGCCTAGTTGGGCACGTACATTTATTGCTAGCCTTGTTGGGCATATATTTTATTGTAATAAATATTACAAGAAAACAGAGAAATTATATGTATTAATCAACACTGATTAAACACTTGCTTTGCTTTCTGTCCAAATAACACAAGAATAAAAGAACTGATTAAACACTTGCTTTGCTTTCTGTCCAAATAACACAAGAATAAAAGAACTGATTAAACACTTGCTTTGCTTTCTGTCCAAATAACACAAGAATAAAAGAACTGATTAAACACTTGCTTTGCTTTCTGTCCAAATAACACAAGAATAAAAGAACTAATTTTGAACTCTATTTTAAGTGAGTTGGATTCAGTCATTTTGTATCACTAGAGGTAGGTGAAAGAGCCAAAGTTCCATGCCGCTGTCTTGAACGTGACTGGGGAAGATGAGGTTGAAGGGCACCAACCTTCTTTATTGCGCCAGAACCTCCCAAAACACAACATTTCAAATCCCGAAGTTCTAGCATCTCTCGCTTGTCCCCATCCCATCTAGACAAGGACCAGCAGGAGACACTAGAAGAGCTCACCTGGTCTTAACTTTTGAGGTAGGCAATTTCGGTGGTGGTGATCCAGGTGGCGTCTGCTCATGGTCTCCAGCGGACGTCCCTTCCATCACCAGGTCCACCTCCGTAACATCTGAATCATCAGCCGCGGGAGAGCAGTTCCCCTCTTGAGCATCTCCTTCCTCCTGCAGAAGGTCGTCTTGTGGTATCTCTGCCAAGGATAGAGGCGAGGAGGCAAAGAGATCCATCTGCGTATCTATCGAATCGCTGACCTCCATTGGATCTTCTCTATTTGAACTTGTGGCCTCGGTCTGCTCTTTCACAGGCTCATCAGGGACACAGACCTCCTCCATTCGTTTCCTCTTCTTTTTCTTATGAGATGGCACGTGATCGTGAACACCACCCCCGTTTTCCAAGTCCTCTTTCTGGCACAGTTTATTGGGGCTTTTTGGAGCTGGTTGGCTCCAGAGCTCATCATCGCTACCATGTTTATTAAGTTTGTGTTTCTTCTTCTTCTTCTTCTTTTTCTTCTTCTTGTGCCCAGAATTACTAATTTCAGTCTCACAATTCAGCTCAGGCTCTGCTGTGACCCAGGAATAATCCACCTGGGATTCAGACGTTTCCCGCCTGGCTTTCTTCTTCTTAGATTTTTTTCTGCCAACCTCACTGTCTTCTGCATCCTGGCAGGAAAGGGGTGGCTGATCGGGAGACTCAGGAGGCTCCGTCGGCTGCTGGAATTTCTCTCGATCTCGCTTCCTAGACTTCTTTTTCTTCTTCGCAAAGCCAGACTGCAGAGCATCCTCTGCAAGCGACACGTCTGCTCCGTCCATTGTTCTCTTTAAAAAGCAAGGAGAGATGGAGGTTAAAACTTACACAAAAGTTTGAGTGCAAAAAAATTTTTAAAAAATAAAATAAAATTAGTATCAAGGAACTGCATTGCTCAGCTTGCAAGCGTGAACTGCAGCGCTCAATTTGCATGAATTGCAACGCTCAATTTGCAAGCATGAACTTTTGTTGTTGTTCAGTGCAACGCTCAATTTGCATGCATGGAAACGCCCAGTTTGCATGAAATGCAACGCCCAATTTGCAAGCATGAACTGCAACGCTCAACTTGCAAACATGACTGTAAACAATTATAAATACTGCGATTTACACGATGCCGGTCCTTAGTAGCGCCCCCTCACTCAAAATCGACCCCCCCCCAGTTCCACACGAGAAGACTCACCGCTTTCCCCCTCGGCAAAAACGTGAAGCTCCCTGAACTTCCGGATCTTTTATGTCACTTCCTCCTCCCAGCTGAGGAACCATAGAGCGGGAAGGCAAGAGCGCCCGCTCCTTCCTTTCCCTCCTCATCTAAACAGCTGCTAGATTTTTGGCTTAGCCCTTTCCAATGGTTCTCCCTCCAGGTGTGTGTGGGGAAGGAGCGATCCTTCACGAGCCCGGCGTCAAGGGATGGGCATGTATCCCATATTGTGTATAGATCTCAAATTTGAAGAGGGCTACTCTATACTAATTCTAGATTTAGGAACATCATGGTCTCGGGAGTCCCGGAAGTCATTCGGCATCTGCTACCTCTTAATTTTCTAACTCTACCTCCTTGTCGCTCCCGCT